GCAACTCCCCTCCCCCAGCTCCTCCTCCCGGGTACTCCAGCCTCCGGCGGGGCGGTTCCGGATCCCCCAGGTTATTCCGGGCGGGTCCATACGGTGGCGGCCCCGCCGGCGGCGGGGGTGGAGGCGGCGGCAGGGGTGGCGGGTACGGTGGCGGCCCCCCTCGCGGCCGTAACGCCTGGTGTGGAGCCGCTGGGGCGGCCCCTCGACCCTGCAGCCGTTCCAGCGGCGGGGGCGGAGGTGGTAGTGTGGGTGGCGGAAACGGTGGCGGCACTGGCGGCCGCACCGCCTGGTGTGGAGCCCCAGCGGCGGCCCCTCGACCCAGCGGCCGCTCCAGCAGCGGGGGCGGAGGCGGTGGTGGGGGGGGCGGGCATGGTGGCGGTGCCGGCAGCCGCAACGCCGTCGGCCGTCCACCCCACTTGTGGGGGGGGGGCTAGCTAAATGAAACACCCCTCTGACAGGCTCACAGCTGTGGTTGTCGGCCCCGGGGGGGGCAGCTACTACCATGGCCGCTCACCTTGAGGCGAGCCTCTGCTGGGGCGCCGTATTATCGGGCAGCGCCTGCGAGAGGCCGACGGGAAAGAGCGGAGGGAGCTTCAGAGACAAGTTCTGCACCCGCTGCCGATTGCGAGGCGTGACTGTGCCTGCGGGCCGAGTGCGAGTGCCGACCGGGATTTGCATGCCCGCGAATTGCCACGCCGGCGGATTTTGGAACAACGCCATTGACGCGTGGGGCTGGCCGCCGTACCGCGTCGCCAACCAGACGCGGGACTGCAACGGCCCAACGCTCGTGATTCTGAAAGACGACTGCCTCGGCGTCCTCTACGGCCTCGTCCCGCTACCCAGCGCCGCGAGTGACCAGATTAGCTTTCGCGTCATGCGGACGCTTGTGCCTTGCGCCTTTGCGGCCCCTTGCTCGCCCGAGGAGCCACACAACGACTTCTCCACGCCGACCACCGTGATGACATCGCTGCCCAACCTCGCTCCGCTGCCATTCGGCGCCCCCGGCTGGCAGCGGCAATACCGATGTGTATCGCTCGTGCCTTGCGCCTTTGCGGTCCCTTGCTCGCCCGAGGAGCCACACAACGACTTCTCCACGCCGACTACCGTGATGACATCGCTGCCCCCCAACCTCGCCTCGCTGCCATTCGGCGCCCCCGGCTGGCAGCGGCAAGACCGATGTGTATCGGCACCCGCCCGCCTCGACTCGCTTGACTCGCTTGACTCGCTGCTCCTCGGCGGCACTGCCTCCCTCGACACAGCCTCCGCCACAACCTCATCCTGCGGCACCGACTCCGCCACGGGCATGGGCTCACCCGCCCGCCTCGACTCGCTTGACTCGCTGCTCCTCGGCGCCAGCACGTCCTCACTTGCCTCCTGGCTCCTCGAGATCCTGGACGATGACCAGCTTATCCCCGTCGACCTTGCGACGGCGCTCGCCCACGCATCGGCCGTCGTCCGCCGCGGTCGGTGCGGTGACATGCAGCCCTCAGGCGGCAGCCTCGCTGGGCCATCGCAGGAGCCTGAGGCTGCGTCGGAGGAGCGCGAGGCGCCAGCGAAGGAGACTGCCGATGGGCTGCGCTCTTCCGGCGGCGCGACGCGCACCGAGGCGCCGAGGGCATCCGCAGACGAGGCGGCAAAGACCGAGAAGGAGAGGGAACTTCTCGCGAAGCTCGGAGAGGAGAGGATGCAGCTCGGCATCACGGCGAAAATGCTGTGCCAGGGGGTGCTCGCGCTTGTGCCTCACCTCGCTACGGTGATGTCGCCGGACGAGGTGCTCTCCGACCCCGAGCGTGCGAGGGCTTTGATGCGAGAGCTCGCCCCCACGCACGCGTAGACATCTCTCTGTTATCTCTGTTGAGCGCGGTCCGAGCGGTGTTCGACACCGAGTTTTATTATTTTGTTTGTGTTGCTGTTATTCGTGTCTGTTGTATGTGCGTGAATGAACGTGTCTTGTGTGTGTGTATGCGGAGTGCGCCGTGTTTGTTCGGGGTGTCTCCCATCTCTCGCCCGCTCGCCCCCTCGTTGTGGTTCGAACATTAGATTTGGTGAGACGGAAAATAGTGGTCGTGTCCGTCTCTGTGCTTTTGCGTGACTTGTGTGCTTCTACCACCATAATAACATCCCGTCACGCACAGCTCGAGCCCTACATCCCCCTCTTCTCTACCATAATTGGGCTGTCGCTGCTGGACTGGATTCGGTCTGGGGAAGGTATGGTACTTGTCCCCGGCTGTACCACCACAAGCCCTTGCAAACTAGGGCTGCGAGGAGGAAAGACGTCCCCCCAGCCCCACTGTCCTGTAACGGGCTAGCTCAAGGTTGCCTTAGATAAATGACATGTGCATGCACATGACATGTACATGTACATGTCATGTTGTTGTGCATGTGCATGTGCATGTGCATGTCTTGAAATGGCGGTGCCCCCCTTGGGGTCATCTTTGGTGGCCGGGTTGTGATACGCGTCCCATCCCAGCGCATCCTGGCAGTTGCTACTAGGTCGAAGCGTCCGACTTCGTAGTAGTGCATCTCTTGTCCGAATATTGCGTCTACGTGGTCTCGAGTTGCTGCACTTAAAATGCTTGCTAGCTTTTTCCTAGAACCGTTAAAATTGTACGTGATTAACTTAACCATTGTCTTGGTGGGGTGGTGAGGTAATTCGCTGGCTAGCTCACGCTCACTGTCTCGGGTGTCCCCTCGCGTCGCAGTGTCTGGTATAGCGAATACCGAATTGGTTACGGCTTTTTACGGCTTACGGTTACGCGTTTACACGGCTCTCCGTCGACATGGATGTTTTAAATACTCTCGAGGACTCGAGGCCACCGCATTCTGGAGGACGACCCCGGCTTGCGGACCCCCCCCCGCCATACCGCACACGACATCGTTTGACGCCCGAATGCCACGCATCGCGGGTGTCGCTCCTCACATCGCGAAGGGGAGGGTGAACCACGGACGGCCGGACGGCTCCTCGACCGCCGTGCAAAGCTCGCTTCCGAACTCTCCCGCCGGGCAGGTAGGGCCCCAAAGGGGGGCTACCTAGAGAACACACCTTCCTCCCTCCCTCTCTCTCCCCTTTCTGCTTGCTTTCTCCCAAGCTAACTAGCTAGGAGTGGTTCGACCCCACACAAACCCGGAGGGGTGATGTCGGGCGGCCGGGTGGGGCTGCGGCTGGAGCTAGCATGGCTCGATAGAGCCGAGACCCCGTGTTGAGGCGGCGCTCCTTCGGCGGCTGTTGAATCAGCAGATTCGACCTCATATCTCCAGTACTCTCATCCCAGTGGATGGACGTCCGTACGTCCCTTTGTGTTCCTCTCCCCGTCCCCCGTCCGCCAGCGAGACGCGCTCAGTCGCTGGCGGCCGCAGTTTTTCTGTGAGAGGAGGAGGCTGCGCTGCACACAAGCACGGGTGCGGGGAGGGGCTTCTCCTGGGTCCTGCGGAGTCGTGCGTCGTGCGCAGGGCTCCTCTTTGCTTCCTTCTCTACTGTACTCTAGAGTCTAGACTGTACTCCCTACTATCATCTCGTTCTCGGGTCCGAGGGCCGCCTCAACTGGAGTAGGGAAATTTGGATTTTGGTCAAACGCCTGCTGGGGGCAGCTTCGCGGAAGTATTCCGGAAGCCAGATGATCCCCCAGCAGGCACACACACACGGAGGTGACAGGGGATGGTGGTGGGTTCAAGCAAAGAAGGGGAGGGAGAGAGCGACGCGGCGAGCGCAGGCGGCGAGCGTGCACGTCGCCTGTGCGGCGTCTTGTTCACTCCCCTTTGAGCTACCTTTGTGCCCCCTTAGGGGCACCCCTCCTGCGCTGCGCGTATGGTCACCCCTCCCTTCCGCCCTGTTGTTTTGGATGCCCCGCTCCGAGAAAGCATGTCTCGCAGCTGCGAGAAAAGACCTTCTCGGGTCCGAGGGCCGCCTCAACTGGAGTAGGGAAATTTGGATTTTGGTCAAACGCCTGCTGGGGGCAGCTTCGCGGAAGTATTCCGGAAGCCAGATGATCCCACTTGTCAACAGCAGGCGCCAGCGCCAATCAAATCTCCCTAGTGATGTTGACAACGGGCAAGTCGAGATGGGCAATCTGACCATGAGTCGTTCATCGGGGATGAACTCCACGTAGTAGTTAATGGGTTCCGATCGGCCAACCGTCTCGCGACAGAGCCACCGAAGAACAGTGGGAGGGCTTTACCGACCCGACTCGGCTGAGCCGTCGGTGCCCGCCGCCCTCGCACGCCCATAGGACGACGATGACGACAGCAGGAGCTCGGCGCGAGCCGATTTAACTCCTGCCCCATTGTTGTAAGGTGCGTATGGCTCGGAACGTGAAGCGATGTAGTAGCTCGAATTGGCGTGAACACCGGCTTGCTGCGCGGCGGGTCAACCCCATTATGCGCAGTCATCCGGAATTCACCCAATCGTTGAGCTGAGTTGCCCCGACGGTAGGATGCCGTGTCAGTTGCCCCGACGGTAGGATGCCGTGTCAAGGTCCAGCTGGGCGCTAGGCGCCCCGCCGCACTGGCGCAGGGCGCGACGGCAGTGGCGGCGGTTTGTGCTGACGGCGGCAGCGCTTCGAAGCGGGAGCGACGGGCCACTGTCATTCAAGCAAAGAAGGGGAGGGAGAGAGCGACGCGGCGAGCGCAGGCGGCGAGCGTGCACGTCGCCTGTGCAGCGTCTTGTTCACTCCCCTTTGAGCTACCTTTGTGCCCCCTTAGGGGCACCCCTCCTGCGCTGCGCGTATGGTCACCCCTCCCTTCCGCCCTGTTGTTTTGGATGCCCCGCTCCGAGAAAGCATGTCTCGCAGCTGCGAGAAAAGACCTTCCCGTCCTACCAGAGAAGCGAGCCCCTGCACACGAAGCACGATCTTGGCGTGTGAGGGATCTTCACAATCCGTCCCCTCACCCTGCGTGGTCACTGTCTCCCCGACGCCCGAGCGCCCGACACTAGAATAGAGCGCTGAGCGGCGCGAGCCGCGTCCCGCGAGTAATTTAAATGCAGCCCTCGGCCACGCTCTCGGGAGTCTGGAGGATATTTTTACCGTAAGACGAAGCCTAAGTGCAGCACCTTCGACCAACGTGCTATAGGTCGCGGAGCGAGTCCCACGGCCGCTCAGCGCTCACGCCCTCGCGGAACCACATCGTGGCGATCCACTTGCGCCCCTCGCGCAGCGGGCAGCCCGAGTGCTCGGTGACGCCGTTGTCCATCGCCGCGGCCCACCCCGTCGGCGAGCCCTCGTCGCGCAGCTTGTAGCCAAAGAAGAGGAGCTGCCCCGGCTTGGGCACCACCTTGAGGCCGACGCGCGTGAAGAGGGTGTCGCCGCCTCGGTCAGCCGTCTCGCAGTAGACGAGCCCGGTGGCGATCCGCTTCCCCTCGCGCCACGGCCCGCCGTTGCACTCTCCGTCGCAGTGGGCGCGGTACTGGGCAGAGGGGCAGTTGCGAGGCTGAGAGGTCATGGTGCAAGGTGGCTTCCGATATATCGCGGAGGTCTCGATAAAATCACACTGGTAATGGGGTGTGCACAAGGCGGCGCACGTACGCTGGGAGAGGAGGCGCCGCGCCCGTCGGGCGGTCATTGCTCTCAATCCCGCCGCGGCCTCGTGCGATCTCGTGCGATCTCGGCGAGATCTCGCCTGGTCGCCGTCGTCCTTGTAGTAGACAGCGTTGACCGGCTCCTGGCCCGGGCCCTCCATCAGCGTCTCGTACCCGGCCGCCTCTCGCGCAAAGGCAAACAGACGCCGCGCGAGCGCTGTGACGGGCCTGGGCGGTGGGAGAGGCCAGACGCTTAGTCGAGACATCTGGACGGCAAAGCACCGACGAGCGGCCCGGGAAGACTAGGATTCCGAAGACTGGGAAGCGGGTGTGGGCAGCGGGGTTGCGCGGTGGGAGGCTCTCAACAGGCTCTCGGAATGGCTCTCGGAAGGCTCTCGGACGGCGCCGGTTCGGGTCATCGTACTCCGGGTACATGTTGACCTAAGAACAAACAATGCCATTCTTGGTGAGGAGCACTGAGAACGCACGTCGTTCTCCGGATGCTGACCGAGTAAGAGCGGCGCGCGGCGGAGAAGCCGCCGCCCGAGACCACCGAGCGGCCCATCCTCGGAACGGTCGCATTCACCATCGCCTCGCACTCGGCCCGAGAGACAAACCCGTCGACCACGTAGATTGGCGGTTCTTCACGCAGCACCCCCACACTGTACTCGACGGCGGGCGGCGGCGGGCGGCGCGACGCGCCAGGGGGCGGCGAGCAATCGACGGCCGCGGCGCGGCGCTTGAGCGAGTGCCATCCCTCCGCGGCTGCCACGTCGTCGGCCGCCGACTTGAACATCATGCGGTGCCGACGCCCGTGAGCTCGCTCGCTGGAGGCATAGGTGAAGCCCTGGCACCGCGCGTGTGAGGCGCAGAGCGAGAGCGCCTCCGCCTCGCTCATCTCGCCTAGTACCATACCTCCCGTGGTATCGAATCCAGTGTGGGTTCATTCCCGTGGGCGGTGCGGTATCATCTCGCCGTCGAGCTCGCCGAGGCTGTCCCCCGCCGGCAGGAAGCCTCTCCTGTACAGGAACGCCCCCTCCGCGCCTCCCCCGCCCCCAACCCCGCCGCCCGCCTCTTCGCGCTCGGCTGCCGCGCAAGGGTCGTGCGGCGTGTGCGTCCAAGCGAAGCGGCGGCTTGGCGTCGAGCCGGGCCCCGACGCGTCACAGCTGTAGTCGCGCAGCAGGTCCTTGAGTCGGTGCGACGACGCGTACCCGGCCTCTCCAGCGTGCGAGGGCAGTGGCGCAAGCGGATCAAAAGTGTGTGGGACAGTCGCAAAGGGAGGATGCGTGCTCGTCGGGTCACCCATCGCCACGAGCAGCCTGTCGACCACGCACTGCATCCAAACCTCGCCAAGCGTGTGGCCGATGCGCTCGCGGCACTCGTCGGCGGCAGCAGTGAAGGCCGCGGGCGCCTCCGGAGCATCGGCTTCAGAGAGGGCCCGCCGTTCGCGCGGCAGGAGGCCGCCGAACCCGGCAGCGGCGGCGGCCCAGAGCAGGAACCCTCCGCGCATGTGTGTGTCGAGTGTTTGCTTGCTGCTGGGTGTCTCGCGTGCACTGAAGCTTGCAGTTAGTCGCGCGCGAGGAGTATCGACACGACTTCTGGGCCTTCCGGCGGTTCGCGAAAAAGAATTTGCGCAGAATTTATTTCGCAAGAGCGGGCAGATGACGGAGCCGCATCCATTGCCATTGACAGTCGCCTTCATCCAGGATGCTGTCAAGAAGCTCCGTGCCGTTGGCGTGCGAAGAAGCTCGACGCCGACCAGCCAGAGATGCCGCAGTCCTCGAGAGCACCATCGAGTAGACACTCTGTCGAAGGTGCGCTCCAGCAGCTCTCCCAGCTCCTCATCGTCGTCCATGATCACGCTCCCCACAGGGGCAGGGCCCCCAAAAAGAAAGTAAAAAAGAAATGGGCCACCCCCGATCGCAGCACTTCGTGTTGGAGGTCGAGATATTGAGATTGTGACTAGGAGGGAGGGACGTTGGGGATTCTCAAAGGTATACCCTTGGAATGGCCGGATCCAGCCTTAAAAGTACGAGATCGCGCGCGCTTCGCGCGCTGCACCGCCTATTCTCCGCGGCTGAGTGACGACGCGTGCCGTGTGCCAGCAGAGTTGGGCGCGCGCGCGGCGCGACGGCCTCGTGTGTCCCTTTTTGAGCCGGAAAGCTATTTTCTTTTGCATTTTGGGTCCTGTGGGCACCCTCTATCTATGGCTCAGACACTCTGGACTGCTCTTGGTCCCTTCTGATGCCCTAGGCTACACCTGTGGGCCTTACCTGGGGTTCTAGGGGCCGGGCAGGGTTTGCCCCCCGAAACTGGCCCGAGGAACCTTAAGAGAGTAGCAGGGGTAACACCTGGGCGCTGGGGTACACCAAAAAGAAGGTTGTGTCTGGGAGGGAGGGAGTGGGGTGCAGGTTGCTCACACACCCACCGCGCCACGGCACCAGGCCGGTGCGCTTTGCACTCTACGTCTACGCGGAATGCCGTGCACAGGGGCTCCTGGTCCTGCCCGGGCGTGGAGATGCGAGGGTCGCCCCCCCTTGCCCCACCACTTTGTGTGTGTGGAGACGTTTACCTTACCTTACCTTACGCTTACCTTACCTTGCCAAAAACAAAAAGAAAATCAGCTGCAGGAATTCCTCTCCAAGACCCTTGCCCGTTCCTCCGGGTAAACGAAAGAGGCCGCCGTGGGTTATGTCTTGGGTTTGTCGGAGCCCTCGGAGCCAACAGTGGTAGTAACGCTGTCACTCAAAGAGACCGTCGCCCTCGTACAGCGGACCTAGCACCGCTCGCGGGTCCGGGTAGTCCTGCAGCGCGCTGGCGTGCTGCGCGTCGGCCACCACGCCGGGCATGTCGTGCGTCTCCGGCCGGCAGAGCGACAGCTGGAAGTGGACGTGCGGAGGCCAGCCTGAGTGACGCACTCGCCCGGCTGAGGGCGAGGGAGGGCACCCACTAACGGTGGACGGGACCGGGGAGGCATTCGGGGCCGGCCAAAAGGCGGTCAGGTGTTCACTCGAGTGATGCAGTCATCCGGGCGCAGGAGCCCAAGATCTCCCCGGGATGACCCCCCCCCCCCCTCCCGAGCCTAGCATGGGCGCCTCCGTTCTCGTGCGTGCCGCCCAGCCAGCCGAGCACCTCACCCCGCGCCACCTTGTCGCCAGGTCGCCACCGCACGCTGCTGTCCGCCGAGAGGTGACCGTGCAGCGCCCAGACGTCAACGCCGCAGAGCCGGTGCTCTGTCACCACCACGTGGCCGTAGTCGAGCGCCGCGGCCTGCAGTACGCGCGCCGAGTTACCTGCCGCAGTGGCGGGGCTGCTGGGGCGCCAAGGGTCGGGTGAGAGTGCGTGGCGCACGTTGTAGCCGGAAGAGTGGACAGTGCCGTCCGCCACGGCGTGCACCGCTGTGCCGACCGGGCCGCCGATGTCAATCCCGATGTGGATGTCGCGCCGCTGCGAAGGCGGCACGCCCGCGGCCCAAGGGTCGGCCCTGGGAGGCGGGAGGCGGCGGTGCACGTGGGTGGGAGGGAGGGTGTAGGTAGGCGAGGCAGGCGTCCCTCCAAAGAGCTCTGACGTGTACATTGATCGCCGCCGCTCGTTGTAGCGCCCAACGTCGTAGCCATGGCCCGTCTCTGAGAGCGGTGCCTGGCCCTCGAGCCCACGCGTGAAATCGCGGACGAGGTACGGGTGCTCCCAAAGGCCTGGCACGAGCGGAGCGAAAGAACTGCCGGCGAAGCGCCCGCTCCCTGGAATCAGTTTCATGCGGGGCAGTGAGGAGACCGCGGCGCAGGAGCCCCGGGTTCGGCGATTCCGGTTGGTGGTCAGCCACTCGGAGAAGGCCGCCCGCAGTTCTCGAGGTTCTCGAGGTGGTTGGCCGCGTTGGGTTGCGGCCAGCGAGCGGTAGAGCTCTATAGGCTACTCGCTTAGTGTGGGTAAACCATAAAAGTAGGTTTGAATTCGTCCACGTAAGGCTTGGTGAGTGGTTGGGGTGGCCTCAGGCATCCCCAAGGGAGCCTCTGCGGTGCCACATAAGCAGCTTGGTGATTGTCGAGACTTTAAAGGATTCGTTTGAAGAAACGCAAACAGGCCAGACACTACTATGGTCACCAGTAAACCATAATTCGACTTTGAGGGATCATATCTCAAAAAGCCGGGAGATAGCATAGCATTATTGTTGCATATTATGCCACATAAGGTCAAACTTGACCCCACAAGCATCAAGAACCCGATGCTCCGGCTCGACTGTGCCGGCACACTGCCTCCTCGCGCCAGCTGCTCGCAGGCCGTCGCGGCCCGTGGTGCACCAGAGAGAGAGGTCGACGCGTTGCCCCCGCCGGCGACCCCGCGCGGCTCAGGCCAGCCAGAAGGTGTGTGGTGACGGCGCCGTGGCAGGAGTGCGGAGAAGAGCTCGCCGAACGCGAGCAGCAGATGGCCAAAGTGTGCCAGCGCGAGAGCCTCGCGAGCGGGCGCAGAAGGAGCTCGCCGTGACACGATGCCGGGCGGTGGTGGTGCTCTGGCGGCTGTGCACAGTGGGCAAAGTCAGGCTGCAACAGGGCAGCACGGTGGTAGTGCCCTGCTGCAGCCTGGCCTGACATGCACAGGGCGAACAGAGGCGGTACTATCGTCCGGCGCTCGTCACCGAATCTGGGCGAACTTCGACCGCCGCCACAGCTCACCACGAGCACGCAGCGACAAAATGTTGACTGTACGGAAGTTGAGGCTGGTCGAGAGGAAGAGGCTGCCGTGCGAGCCGGCAGCAGGCTGGCTCGTCGTGGACTGCAGCGGCGACCAGGGGGTCTGAACCTCTGGAAAAGAAATTCGGCGCCGCGAACGCAGGCTTTCCCATCTTCGCTGGTTCGCCGAGGCTGGGCAGTCTCCGCCGGCCGCAGCCCGAAGACGCAGCCTTGCAGAGGACGCGTTAGCGGTCAGATGGGTCCAATTTTGAGCCTCGGAGGAGCTCCCGTTGCCTCACGGCGGCTGCTAGACGAGGGCCGGACGCCTCTCAGGCGCCGGCGACTCAACTTTGATCCGGCGGCCTATTTATTGAGGGTGGCTTCACGACTCCGGCCCTCGCACGCGCCCACACGACCCCCTGGACCGGCCTGTCCGACCCACCCCTCTCGACGCGCACCACGCGCCCGACGCAGGAGCCGCGCGGAAGTCGGCGCTCGACGTCGCCGCTCGACCTCCGCCGCGAGAGGCGTCTCGCGGGGCCTGTTCGAGCGTAGTCAGGAGCGCCGCCGCTCCCCCTGGCCATGGGGCACGTGCGGGCCCTTGCCCGTGCCGCCCGTGTGCCGACACGGACCGTTTGACGCCGTCGGTTCTCTTCACACTCGCCCGCGCCTTCGGCCCGCCCGCCACGCCTCCCGCCCCCCGCGGCGACGCCCCGCCAGAGCGATTAATTGGCCGTCGACCTCCGTCCCCTCGTCTGCAGGGGCCGCTCTGCTGACTTGAGCTCTCCGCGGCGCGATTTCTGCAGTTGAGATCGCCTCCCGCCCGCCTCCCGCCCGCCTCGCGTGCCTCTGCTCTCCCGCCCCGCCCAAGCGGCGCCGCGCACGCGAGACGCCCTCTCGAGGCGGAGCCCGTTCAATGTCGCGCTAAAAGCGTGATCGCGTCTCGTTTACGGTGCATACTCACAACCACGCACACCATGTCCCGCTCAGGCTCCTACCGGATAATCATACCCTCCACGACACCGGCGTACATGGCGACGGTCCCGTGCACCGGCGCCGTGCCGAGCCGTCCTCCTGCTCGGCAACCAGCTCCGCCGTGTCTCGATGCCGGCAGCATCCGGTGCGTCGCCGCCGGCGACACCGCCCGCTGCGGCGAGTGGCATGTGCGGTGGCGCGCCCTGCTGCGTGGCCGCCGCCGGCTCGGACGTGGCCGCGGCTGGAGCCGGGCCTGGGTCGGTCGCGGCCAGAGCCAAAAATGGAGCGCAGCTAGGGCTGCGCAGCGAACAGGAGCGAGTTCGCGCTGCGGTGCTCAGTACGGCGAGTTCGCTCTGCGGCCTGCTCGGGCTTTATCTCTCGCGTCTCGGCTGCGTTGGCTGCTAAAGTCTTTTTTATCGGTGCGTTTTAGCTGTTTTAGCAGCAAACGTCCGAATTCTGCAGCGATGACCGATCTGGGAGGCTTTCCGGCTTTGCCTTTTTTTGGTCTGGCGCTGTGGTCTCACACACGTCACAGCGATTTGGTGCGAGAGACGGTCTCAGACCCAAAGAGAATGCAGAATCTAATGTTTTTTCACACACAACACAGACACAGACACTGCGCTCCCCTCAGCTCCCGCGCTGGCAGGGAGACGCGAGCCCTGACGGAGTCCGGTGGTGGGGGCCCGCCACGCAGCTATAGCGCCGCCCTGCGCTGACATGGTTCGTGCTGAGCCGCCGCCGCCGCTCGCTCTCGAAGAGCGTCGCGCTGCTGCCCGTTCCCGGAGCGCAGAGCGCGAGTTTGGTGGTCAGGGCCTCGCCTGAGGGGGGGGGGGGGAGTGAGGACGTCACCGAGCGGGTGGGGCTGCCGGGAAGGTGGTGGGCGGGCGTGGATGCACCTCAAGTACGAGCGAGTAGCGGAAAGACCGCCCGCTACTCCGGCGGAAGAGTGCTCCCCCGCCGCCCCCTGGGTCACCCCGAGTGACCTCGCAGCCCACGCCGTGAGGCGCTGCTGCTGTCAGGGGATGTTGGGGGCGTGCAAAGCGGCTGGGAAGAGACGGCCAGGCTCCTCGCGGGCAAAAGACTGACGTGGCCGCCGCATTCAGCCTCCGGCGGGCCTCCGGCGGACGCCTGCGGCGTGACGCTCCGCGCGAACAGCCCCGTCTCGGAAGCGCTGCGGGACGGCCTCGCTTCAGCGTGCGCCTGCCGGGGTGGGGTGGTCACCAGATGAAATCGCGGCCGCAGCTGCTTCGAGGGGTGATTGAGGCCGGGCAGGAACGGCTTCTCCCGAGGTGCCCGCATCGAGTAGGCCGACGCCACAAGCAGGAGGGCTGCGTGGACCTCCTGGGCCTTCTTGGTCGGGTCGCTCCTCCTGGCATGGCGCTCGGCCTGCGAGCACGGGCGGAGCGAGCGGTGAGCGGGCATTGTGCCGCCGGGCGGGGAGCTCCGTCACCCTATCGCGGAGCTCTGGTCCCGCCCCTGGGCCGGGATGCGACCCACAATAAAACCCGTCCCACCCGAAGCGCATCTGCCGGGAACGGCCTGCTCGAAACGGAGGCGCGGCGCGGGCGGCGCGCGGGGCAAACGGGCGCACCTTGGGGGCTCCGAGGGGCTTGCGGACGGGCTTTCAGGCCAGCCGCGGACCGGCGCCGGGTTCTCTCCGCGCCGCGAGCCAGGCGGGGCCGAAGAGGAGGACGGACCGCTCAGTCTGCCATCGTGGCTCTGTGGCGCCCCAGAGACCTCGCAGGCAGGTTCAGACCCCCTGGTCCGAGCCTGGCTCGCGCTGGCATCCGGGATTGCATGGTGTGAGTGTGTGTGAGTGTATGGGGGATGCGCAGTGTGTGGGTGCTCACACCCATGTCTCACAGTGTGACGGCAGTCGCCGAGCAGTGTCGCTCACACAAGCCGCAGCACAAGTGACTGATGGCCAGTGAGGGCGAGCCCATCGCTGTCACAGCTGTGGCAGCCGCACAGTGGGCTGTGCCATCTGTGCAGAGTGTGTGAGCAGCAGAGGAGGAGCAGGCGCACATCGCTTCCAGGGAGGGGGGCGCCTTTTTTTCCACGCCCCACCCCCCCCTTAGCATGTGGTGAAGCCTCTGGGGGGGTCGGGACCCCCCCCCCTAGCATGTGGTGAAGCCTCTGGGGGGGGTCGGACCCCCCCCCTAGCATGTGGTGGGCACCCCCCAGCAGTTCGTGGGCTAGGAATAGCCGCCAGAGAGAGCCGATTTTGCCCCACAAAGTTGTGAAATCGTGGCTGAAAGTCCAATATTTTGGAGAATCTGGCCAGTCTCAAGGCTCATGTAGCTCCAACGGATAAGTTTCTTCGAAAAATGCTGCGAAATGAGTGTAAAATCAAGGGCCCGGAGGGCCCTGACCACGAGTCT